ATAGCAGACACCAACTTGCCTGAAAGCTATAATAATATTAGCACTAGAATGCTGATAGCTTAACAGCTTTCAGGCAGACATCTCCATTTACTGGGTCAATATGCATTAATACAGAAGGCAGCCACAAATATGTGGCTACATTGAGTGTATTGCATTTTTTTATCCATAAACCTTGTGCATGAATCAGAAGGGGTAATAGGGAGAGCTATGTAAGCACCCTATTAAAACCCCACAGTCTATCAATATTGAAATCCCAATATAATAAAATGCCATTCCCAACCCTATATTGAAGGTCAGATATCTTATTCAGGCCTCATCATGGTACTGAAACTGCCTTGGTCGCACTGGTCGATGATCTCCGGAGGGCTAGGGACAAAGATGAGAGCTGTTTCCTGGTTCTGCTGGATCTCTCAGCGGCTTTGATACCATCGACATAACATCCTTCTGGACCGTCTGGCGCTGGGAGCTGTGTGTGACACACCACACCCTTTGAGAACCACTGGGGTAACCTTATGGGATCCCACAGGGTATATTACTCTGCAACTAGTCCCTCTGAGTAGACATATATAGGCCTGCACTAAGGCTGAAATCCCAGACTATCTCCCATTTAACACACTGGTACCTACTACCTACTTCTGTGTAGACATGCACAGGATTGTGTGATAAATGTATACAGTCGTACCTTGGATCCCAAACGCCTTGGTACCCGGACGTTTTGGCTCCCAAACGCCACAAACCTGGAAGTGATTGTTCTGGTTTGCGAACGTTCTTTGGAACCCCAACGTCTGACAGGGCTTCCACAGCTTCTGGTTGGCTGCAGGAGCTTCCTGCAGCCAATCAGAAGCCACGCTTTGGTTTCTGAATGTTTTGGAAGTCGAACGGACTTCCAGAATGGATTCCGTTCGACTTCCAAGGTACGACTGTATTATGGAAAGGGCAGGGAGACAGCCAAGGTAAAGTTCTAGCAATGAACACTTGTCCTTGTTCCAACATTCAAAAATTCAGAAGGGGCAAATACTTGTTTTTACATACTGACCACAGAGGGGTCTCTTCCATTATCTGACTAAGAATTCTTTTTGTTGATCAACTGACACAATAAAGGCACAATGGCTTCTTTAGATATTTTATAATAAATATTATAACAATATAGTGAATGAATAAATACGACGAATATTTGTTATTTGTTCCCTGTCATTGTCTCTACAGCCACAGCAGGCACTGTAACTCTCTGACAGTTTGACTTTGCCCCTGATGGCACACTCTTCCACTCTCTCTCGAGACAGACGGATGCCAACAACATAACAAATAAAACACCTTAGAACACGTTGTTGGGTTTTTTCCTTTAAAAAAGGAACATTAACACACCAAGGGTTTCCGGATCCTTTATTACTGAACAAGTATTAAGAATGAACAGCAGGTCTTCTGGTACAGTACTCTGTTGAAAAGCAATCATCACAGCTGAACTCTTGCAAAGCACAAGTACCTTTAATTAACTTTAAGGCAACTTTGCACAGCAATTTAATCCAGCAGCTCCATTCTTGCAGGGTTTCCTTGATCATCAGAAAGAACAATTCCAATGTAGGGGGTCAGACAGCATGAAGAAGCAGATTGACCATCACATCTATAGCCCCGCCGGCTAGGGTGGAAGGTGTTTGGCGGGGAGTCCCTAAGGCAGCCTTTCTTAACCTTGGGTTGTTCCTGAACTATGACTCCCATCATCCCTGACCACTGTCCATGCTGGCTAGGAATGATGGGAGTTGTAGTCCAACAACTGGAGACCCAAGGTTGAACAAGGCTGCCCTAAGGGGATCCGCCTCTGCTGCCTGCCCAGAAATTTCCATTGACTACTATCCACTATAGTTTACCACCTGCCAGGTCAAAACTTGAGACTTTCACTGCTCCAGAGCCTCCATAGAGTCCCCCCACTACCACCAGCAGAGAAGCAGCTATGTGCGACCCTAATCCCTCTCCCATTGAGTCAGGATTGCAGTCCTGACAGTCAATGCAACCATTTATAAAATATCAATAATGGAGAACTTTGACTTTGCAACTGAGATACGCAGTTTTAAGAAATCCCACCTTTGCCCAGGATTTATTAGCCCACTTTATGCGACCAGGAACAAGCTGCAGTGCATCTCAAGCTCACACACACTCCCTGCCTTCTGCCCCTTGGTGAGAGCTTCTACACTCAAACCTCGGTTGTCGAACGTAATCCATTCCGGAAACCCATTTGGCTTCCGAAATGTTCGACAAGAAGGATCAGTTTCCGATTGGTTGCAAGAGCTTTCCACACTCAAGTGGAAGCCATGTTGAACGTTCGGAAACCGGAGTATTTACTTCCAGGTTTTCGTCGTTTGGGAGCCAAAACGTTCCAAAACAGAGCCATTTGGGAACCGAGGTTTGACTGTACTACTTAAAGAAGCCACAATTCAATGTTACACCCACACTCAGGCACTACGGTGTGCTTTAAACTAAAGACAATTTGAACAACCAGGGATCAGACTGAGGGGTTCACTGTTCTCCCCTCCTGAGTGGAGGAGAAGAGAGGCATTTATTCCCAGTCACCTAAACGCAGGGGGCGGGGGGTTCCAGAAAAAGTGGTGCTGGAATTTGTTGGGGGAGCATCCAGCCAAAGTTATTGAGCCCTAACGCTAAAGAGGTACCAGTGAGTTCCGCTTGGAAAAAGCCCTGCCTAACCCACAGATGACTGAACTGAAATGATGTGTGGTCAAGCCTTCAGCTTCAATTCCACATCTGGAAAATGGGGAAAAATAATTTGCACAAGAGAAAGCACAGTAAAAAAAGACTGTACGAGTTGCATTAGAAATTCTTGACAAATTACCAAAAATACGTAACTCCTAGTAGTAGCAAACAAATGGAAACACATGGCAGCGGCTCTTCACCTGTTATACAAGAGATATCTGGCATCTTCCCAAGAGTTCTATAACACAACAAAGTATTATTATTTTGCATTTTGGACTCTTATTTCCCCTCCACTTTTTAGGAAGAATATTCATATATTATACACATAAGAAGTCCAGTGCAAAGTTACTGCGGCTGCCTCCCTACAAATGCTGCCACCAAAAAACACAAAAACATAATTAGCATTATGTTTTTATGTTTTAATTAACCGTATTATATTCCCAACCATATTCCTCCTTTTTTTTAGTCTTCTCACAGCATGTTACAAAGAAATGAACTTGTTATACACAGCAGTCCTAAAAAGTGTTCTGCAGCGAAGACGTGAAGTATGAATTACTAAGGCCATGATCCCCAAAACGCTTGTTCTGAAGTAACCTAATCACTTTTATTATAGAATCAGTAACTGTAACGACGTTGAGTAACAAAATCTATGAATCACGTGCTTGTTTACGCAGAAATAAGTCCCACTGAGAAATAAGTCCTACTTACATGTAAGTCTGCAAAGGATTCTAGGTCTAATTAGCATTTTGCATTATATATTTACATATGTCAGAAATCTTTACCTGAAGGGGTTGAAGTCAGCTATTGAAAGAGAAACGACACACTGACTTATCAATATAGTACAGTGGTACCTCAGGTTACATACGCTTCAGGTTACATACGCTTCAGGTTACAGACTCCCCTAATCCAGAAATAGTGCTTCAGGTTAAGAACTTTGCTTCAGGTTGAGAACAGAAATTGTGCTCCAGTGGCGCGGCAGCAGCAGGAGGCCCCATTAGCTAAAGTGGTGCTTCAGCTTAAGAACAGTTTCGAATTAAGTACTTAACCCAAGGTATATCAAACTGGTAAGAACGGTTCAGCCAGTATGTTTATGATATGTCTAGCTCGCTGTGATATTGGCAGAGATTCCACCACAGGCAGTTTAGCCACATTTCACACAAATTAAGATACAAGGGTAGCCGAAAGATGTAATAGTGCTTTTGTCTGGCATTAAAGGGTGACAATTTATACGCAGTGCTATTCTTTTCTTGAGAAAGAGGTGCTGGATCTCACCATGAACACCTTCCTTCTTCTCTTATAATGGCAATGGCACCCACCTGAGAGGTGCCAGAACTAAGCTCCAGTGAGTTCCAGCTGAAAAAAAAAAGCCCTGTTTATATGTATACTACCATGTAGTAATATTTTCAGCATCAGGTGCCTAAATGACAGTCCTGGTACAGAATTCAGAGACCAGGTTGTTCACCAGGGCAAGACAGTCTGAGCATATTACACTGATCCTGGCCCAATTAGCTACCTGGCTACCAATTAGTTTCTGGGCCCACTTCAAAGTGCTTGTTTTGAACTTTAAAGCCTTAAACCGCTCAGGTAATACCTCAAGGACTGCCTCTCTCCATATGAACCTACCCGGATCCTGCAATAATCACCTGAGGCCCTTCTTCATATACCTCCTCCACAAGAGGTCCAGAGGGTGGCAACAAGAAAGCAGGCCTTTCCTGCAGTGGCTCCCCGTTTGTGGAATGCTCTCCCCAGGGAGGCTAGGCTGGCACCTTCATAATATAGCTTTAGGCGCCAGGTAAAACCCTTCTTCTTCAAGCAAGTCTCGTACACACCTTTTAAATGTTTTCGTGGGTGGGGAGTGGGCGGCTTAATGTTTTGTTTGCTCTTGTTTTGTTTT